TCATTATGCGTTCGTTAAGCACAAAATATACTCCCAACAAATGTATAGAACATAATAACAAGCATTGTGGCACAGTTCAACAAAATTGATATAATCACTTAATGGATTGCTGCGACGTCAAGTAAAAGAGGCTTAACTATAATAGCCCATCGGAAAGCGGTTTACAGGAAATATGAATTGTATAAAAGCAGACTTCATACATATTAAACCTATCCATTTAAGTTGATGCCAGCCTAACAAAAGAACATTAATGAAATCTTCCAATTATACAGGATTATTTTGAGACGAAGTACATACTTTGACATAACGTGAATTGAGCATTCCATAATTCAAAAAAATATTAATGTTTTATTTTGACAAGAAATAACCAGAAAAATATCAATTCAACCATTGTTTGTTTATCCCGTTACGAGTGGTCACCCTATTGATAAGCGGTGTAGTAGCGATAAAGTAGCTAATTTAAAATTATGCGTTCAGCGAAATTTTTGGTGCTCATCAATAGGTCGGTCAATAGGTATTGATACGGTAAGGCAGGAATTTCTTAAGGTGTCCATAATTTAATAAAAAAAATCAAAGATAATCTTTAAAAAAAAATGAGGTCACAAGTACGTATCAGATTCAGATTTAGAATCAAATTCTGCTTGCTATGTTAATATGTCCGTTGTCTATAAAATCGCCCTGTATACGGGCCATTGATCAATAAATGCTAATGTAAAAATCTAAATATATTATATCGAAACTGCCTTGCATGCAACATATATACAATATGCCTCTAAAAAGAACATCACTTTTTTTTTATAAACGCTGCGTTCTTTTAAGACAATTTAAATTTAACACAGTTTGTTGATATCTGGTGGAAGGACCTCCGAGGGATCAGGATCCTCCGGACCAGACATAAAAAAAGTAAAGTAACAGCCTATACATGTCCCACTGCTGGGCAAAGGCCTCCTCTATACCGAGGTATCAGGGCATAGTCCACTACGCGGCCCCACTGCGGGTTGGCGGACTTCACATATCTTCGAAATATATATTTTTTTGTTATTATTTCGAAAATATACAGGTTTCCTCACGATGTTTTCCTTCACCGCGGAGCACGTGATAAGTCAGCACTTAAAGTTAAAAACTTCATTGGTGCTGGCACTGGGGATCGAACTCAGGTTGCCCGAGTATACTGATTTAAAGGCGAGCGCCCGGACACTGATCTATCACGGCTCTATGCCTATCAGACATGAAAAATAAAAGGTCCAACTTATGCGGGATGGGTAAATATAAAGTATAATTAAAATAACAATGCTGTTAAACAAATATCATATATCGTATAAGTAAACAAGTATATGGGTACAAACTACAAACTAAAAGGCCAACGTACAAAATTTATAAAAAATGAAGCAAAACATTTATAGATTCAGAGCTTGTCATCAGTTCAAGAAAGGATTCTCTTTCCTTTATCTTGGCTCCATCCAATATGTTGTGCATTCCCCCATACTCAAAACAAATAACAATATCAAAGTTTGATATCATCTTATAGTATGCAAGCTTGTTAGATGAAATACGTCCCTATTCCAACAAAATGTTTTTATGATTTTTCTTTTATATACGGGCGAATATAACTTGCTACACAAAAATACTCTAGTAGCTTTTGATTTGTTCGAAGTTATTTGGACGCCCACTGAGGAGTTGAATTGGGGTTCAAATGCGAAATGTGATGTCACTATCAGGCTTTTATATTTTATCAGGTTTTTATGGAAAAGGAAGCAACTTGCAGGCGGGTTCCTGGCCATGGAAGGTTGCAACAAGAGGTTGAGTGATAAATGCACTGCCAGTCTTTGTGGTAAATAGTCTTATCTCGAACCTCTATGTGGCAGAAAATTCCGTGAAAAACAAACCGTGGTGGACTGCCAACCCTGAAGGTGGTGTCGATGGTATTTGGCGTTTTGTCGCGAAGGAAGGTGGTGAAACTTAGCAAATGGTGTTGAGCCGACAAACTTACGGTGCACATATTAGTGATAAATTCATGACGATAGGGCTTGTATTGTTGCATTTTAAGTTTCCTGTTTAACTTTTACGCAAGTGATATAGGCAGAAAGAAAGAAAAAAATCAAAATGTCTTTGTTCCAATAGACGCTTGCGCGTTATTATGAAACGTCGAATTTTACATTAAATAATTAATTTTGTTAAATTATTAAGTTAAATATAAAAAGTATGGCACATGGAGGACAAGGATGTGTGGAAATGACTCTTGCTCTGCACTTGCAAGTCCCCTGGCTCCTGTTAAATTATACTAAAACAATTTTTTGTATATACTTAAATAATTAGTTAATTGAAAAGTCATTCTTATTTTTGTGTACATACATAATGCATTGGCAATATTGTTTAACATTTCGATTAATCAAATACGTAGGTATTTTTGATTTGTAAATGTTTCAGTTTTTCTATATAAAATGGTAATTTCATAGGTAAAGGCTTAACAACGAACAATTAACAGTTACTTCGGTGACACAGCTGTATGGACACGTTGCGTGACCAACAACATGATTCTTACAGTTCAAATTGATGACCTTATAAATATATACACACAAAGTCATTATTGAAACACGTTATTCAATAACGTTGTAGTTAAAGGGTGGGTCTTGGATGAAGTGTTTATTGAATCTTTTTATGATTTAAGTTTATTTTAATAGTGGTAGTTGAATAAAAGTCTACTAACTTTGAAGATAATGTTACGATTACTCAATTATCGTCTGGTCAATGTCTTTTAAAGATTACCAAAAAATCTTGAAAGACGTTCTTACTCTAGATTTAATAAGATATTTTAGAAAAAGAACTTCCCGAACGTTCTATATGATCGAAATTCTGCATGGTAAGTCTGATAGTTAAAAAGATAGTAGTTTTTTTTTTGAGTAAGTTTAATACATCTATATTTATTAAAGATTTTTGAATTTCAGAGCGCAATTGCACCTGTTGAAGTATTATAATAAAGAGAAGAATAAAGTATCGGAATTTTCCGCAATTTCCGCAGCTTTCCCAGTGATAATACTGTCGTATTTATATGTACCGTACACTAATACAATTCGTTAATGTTATAGAATCTTTTAGTTTTTCTAAGAACTGAAAATCTAAATCGATTCTGACTCGGTGCACCTAGCCCGCGCCACACTAAAAAAATTTTACAGTACAGTTAATTTGCAAGGTTCGCAAAACTAAAAATAAAAATATAGGAAGACGTTTGACACCAATAAATTTTGCTAATACAAAATAGCTCCCGGCAGCGTGAACCTGGAAGCTGCAACCGTCTATAAAGGATATATCAATTTCCTATATCAAGCCCATATAAAAACTTTTGCAGCGACGTTGTAATAGAGGGTTGTCCAAGAGAATAAATCGTTGAGTACTGCAGAGACGTATCACGTCTACTTTAGTCTTGCTAAAATAAAGGTGCCGTTGCCAATGTCAAAAGCCGTTCGCGTTTTATAGCGTACCTACTGCGAATTTCATTTCCCTCCTTAGAGAGTACTCGTATGACGTAATTGAGGACGACAGTTGAGGTCGCTATTGTCGCCTCTTCGTATACTTATGATGACTTATACTGACACTTACAGATAGCGTCTTCTATCAAGCGCCCTCCAACCTAAAATGCTCTTCCGTTTCCTAGTATCTACAAAATGAAAATATATAGCGGGACTGTCAGACCGTAATTGATGTTAGCCGATAGAATCAACACACAATGTAATCGGAGCTCGCAATCTGTTTCTTTTTGGCGTTGAACAAATGCTTTAGCTCTTTTCTTTGATAGAGACTTGCGTCGGACGGCTGTTAAAAGAAATTTCTCAAATACCGAATAAATATTATAACAAGTTAATGCCCATGACTCCGTCAGCGTTGCTTATCATAATAACAACTAAACAGTTTCACTTTTCCACGGCAGGAAAACACACGTCACTGAACACTTAGTGCTAATAAAAATCATTGCTTGTTAATTGCTAAGTTATTAAAGTTAAAACATTAACTTTTGTGTTATGATTAATGAAGATATCACAACATAAAAAAATTATTGAAATCTACCCATTAGTTTTTCCCAGACGCGCACAACGGCAGAGCTCTATCATTTTAGTTATATAGATAATTTTACAATTTTCTCGAAACGACTTTGATTCAAACCAATAAATACGAGACTTTAAACAGAAAATCACAGTACAGCAGACTTGAAAGGTATTCTTGCTCGGTGAGCTTTTAAACCTGAGCCTGTTAGCAGTCGGATCGCCATTTCAGCGATAGACACGCTCGACGGAGCACAAGAGAGCCACTCTGTTTTGCATCGAACACGACCGACGCTGTGCAAGATATGATTCTGGAATTTTATGCAAGTATAATTTGATGTGATTTCAAGACACTAAACTGGACTCAATCGAAATTCTTAGGCAATTGTAAAAGTTCGGCACACGCGTCTTTCATACTGTAAAACCACCACGAAGTGCAGCCACCATTAAAAATAACTGAAGCGTTCTTTTTGCAGCGCTTTTTTAACAAAAAAAAAAAAGCTTGGGCGGTAACTCAAGCTTTTTAAGTCGGAATACTTCGCATTAATATTTACTTTTTATTCTCGATCAATAAAAGGGATTCTTAAATAAAAAAATACATGTGGCAGACGGGTATAATTCCACGTTTTTAAGATATTAATTAGTGAACAAAAATCTGACAAGATTTATACATTCAACAAACAATGGGCATAAGTATTCGGTTTACTTAGCGAAGTGGCTCTCGAGTATTGGGCGAAATACAACACAATCTTACTTAGCTTTACATTTACCTCTTGGCCGAGGACTTGTATATTTGCTATCGTTGTTTTAATCTAAACTAAAAGAGAGTATCAATTTTTACGATTGCAATGAAATGGTCGGAAGGCAAATTTCACGGCGTTTCCCTTCAATATATTCCTCTTTTATCGACTGTCACACGTGGGCCGTTCTTAATATGAACAATAGAGTGTAAGGTGTACTCACCGACGCCATTGCTGAAGAAGAACAGTGCGAACACCGTAATAGCAGAGACCAGGATGAACCTGGTCATGCGCTTCCGTGGCACTGATGAAAAGCCACCGAAAACGCGGCCAAATCCCGGGCCGCCGTGACCCCTGTGGGTCATTCTCAATCTGCAACAACGTATACGATTTTTAATATTTCATTTCGTCTTCTTAATAATTTAAAGATTCATTAGAACATTGAGATGTAAATAAAAGGCGGCATAGTCCATCACAAAGTATTTTATTTAATAGACATCCAGTTATTACATAACAGAACACAATAATTTATGTACATTTGCATAATTTTTATATATAACACTTGGACGGATAATTGCTTTTCGTTAAAAACGATACCCGTAGAGTTGCAGAACAATTATTTTCTATACATGATACATTAAACTATTTCCACTATATGTATCGTATATACCCAATGTAATATACTTTACATTGAGTTTAAGTAATAGGGAAAGCTCACACTTGGTTACACATTCGGGTTTAACCAAACATGCTTTAAGGGCAAACACAAGTTAACAAAGTCGCCGCGGTATAGCCGGTTGCCGGTAGTAGAAGCTCCTCAATTCTGCAGTCAGCCATTCAACATTTTTTTTTCTTTTCATTAACGTGATAACATCATTGCTGTGACCAGATTTGTTATTTAGAAAAATGTAATGATGGTGCTATAATTCTAAGTAACGTTAATTCGGATAAATCCTCTAATATTTTCTGAATAGTATGACACTAATAGGGTTCACTATTGAGAACTGACCAATTACACATATTTTTAATGTATCAAGCGTGAGACTTACTTTTTTTTTTTTTTCAAATATATATAAGTTCAATTCTATTGTTTATTATCGTAATTAGTCCTTTTACATTATTTTGTTTCGTTCTTTCAGTAACTAAAGGCAACTGTGCTTTCTATACAACTCTGATTTTATTTATTTATTAAACACTTTTTTTGTACAAGTGGTACAAACGGCGAGCTACGGCATTCCATATGGCATTTCCTAACAGCCAACCGGAAAGTTAGTAAGAGAAATTAGGGGAGGTAGTGTCCTATTACAACTACATCAAATAAAATATCATTTATAACAGAAAAAGTTATAACATATATCAAACGTCTACTGATCATCAAATGGGCTAAAATGTTCCTTAAGTTTTGCTTTAAACGCAAACTTATTCGGCGATTTTCAAATTTCACTAAGAGGAAGGGCGTTCAAGAGTCAAGTAGCTGTAACTGCGAAGAATTTAGAGAGAAAATTTGTACCGTGAGAAGTAATAAGTATTCGACAGATCGACGATTTCAGCTATGAGAGGTATATCCAGGTAGTGAAATTTAGATTTCAGATACACTGGGATAAAGGGATCGATAATGATATTATAATGTGTACAGAGATCATCCAATCCGAAGATTCATCCGTTTAGAGATTTTCAACCAGTTTAGTTGAGTGATATGGAGAAATATGGTCAAACTTCCAAATACAATGAATGAATTGAATACATAGATTGAAGAGACATAGCATATTGTCTCTTCAATCTATGTATTCAATTCATTATTTTCATCTGAGTTACACAAATCAGTAATCCAAATGTGGGAGTATATTGAATTAATAGCTTTTTTACTATAATACGTAGGTTGCTATAAGTTTTTTAGTTATGTTTTTTAACTTGGAAATCTGTATTTGTCATATGGCTAAATACGTAATAGTATGGCTAAATGCGTTCTCTTGAATCCCAGTTGAAAAGCTACGTCAAACGAGTTACATTAATATCGATAATTGATAAAAAATGTGTACGAATTCAGTGCTGAGAAGGAAAATCCTTAATGAGATAAAGCTGGCAAGAAGCATGTCAACAATTTTGAAGGCATTAAACAATTCGATTAGTGCTAACACCTTGCCATCCCTCACACCATTTTCACGACCGAATGTTTGTCAATCTCTTCGTAAAGAAATAAATGGCTTCCCTAGAATGGACTTGAATATTCATTGAATCAAAGTTTTCTACTAAACTTATTCAGTACTTTGTAAAATAAATATAGAAAAATACACTTAACGAAGTACTCCAAATACTAAATAATGTTAATTGACGAAAAGCCATGGTTATTTTAGTTACACATGAAAAGTAATCCAAATTGATGAGTGTTAACAACAATACAATACAAAATTTGTATTAATGTTAATTAACATTACTCAAATACGTGCGGAGCGCGTGGTTCAAGGGTGCATTCATAATTAGCTTAATTACAATGAATTTGCGATGAGTGGTTAATATTTGATAATGTACAATCACTTATTTCAATTTAAGCTATACTTTGTAATAATATATATATATATATATATATATATATATATATATATATATATATATATATAGTCTAATTAAGACAGCCTAAGTCTCGTATATTATAAACCTTATGGGATAGGCTGATATAGCCAATGCCGTGCACCTTAACATTGGCCGTATCTGCCTAAAAGTACGTAGACCAACATTTATCGTTTTATCTGTTTAAAATTTTAAAAGTTTCTAAGAAATTACGGTAAAAGCAAGGTGACTACCTAAGTAATAGTACTATCCGTACAAATATGTATTTAATCTAAAATATTTATTATCTGTGTATACTCATGTAATGTAACAATTTCACCAGTGATTTGTTGTATACTCATTAATATGTTGCCTTTTTAAAAGATAAATTATCAGAAACAGAGTTAAATGAACTCTGGAAAGGGTTCGAGACGTCACGAATTAAAAATCAAAATAAAACGTATGTTTATCATTTTTCTAGTACCCATAGTACAGTACCCATTATACATAGTTTGGGACTAGAGAACGATGTGTAAAAATGTGTCCGAAAATATTAATATGTTGGGGATATTCCTTTGTTTTCTCGTCTGGTTGGGTTTATAGATAAAAGAAATAAACATATAGATATATATTGCATATATAAAACAAATATTATGAATAAAAATAAACATATAGATATAAATATTGTATATAATACATATATAAATAGGACCCAACCAGACGGAAGCCCTCGGCAGGGGAGACCAAAGGGCCGAGGGTTAGAGTGAAAGGGAGAGAAACCGGCGGACGATGCGGGCGGTATCGAGGAGCACCGCTTTCTGCATTAGAGCTTGGAGCGTTCCGTCCCGGAGTCCCAGTCGCCTCAGATGTCCGGAGAGGCTGACTGGGATCAACCCATTTGCAGATACGACTATTGGGATAATTTCGGATATTATTATTATTATTTTATTTAATACGTTTCGTTTAATAAAATAGTTTCATTTAACTCGCGTAAAAACAAGAAATCAATAAGGAATCTTTAGCTTTTGTTTTTAATTTCGGTTGTCTTTAGCTAGCGCCAATTAACGTTATTTGTTACATTAAAAATATATATATTTCCTTCCATAACGCTAGTGGAGTCATAATTTCGTAAAAAAGGATAATGCGTGGAAGCTAACATTCTAAGTGTTCCAAAAGTGAGTTTTCTATAGCAATAAGTATTAGGCAATATTTTTTATTCAGTTTTTTAGTATTTTTTGTTATGGCGGCAACAGAAATACGTCATCTGTGAAAATTTCAACTGTGTAACAATGACGGTTCCTTGTTAAAGACGGACAGACAGACAGCGGAGCCTTAGTAAATGGGTCCCGTTTTACCCTTTGGGTACCGAAGCCTAAAAATTAGACCGTATAAATTAACGGCCGAGATAAATGTTAATTGATTACCAAACAAACGGCCAAGCTCATAAAAATCGCTCAATAAAGACATTATATTCTATGTTGAAACATTATTTACGAAGAAGCCCAAAACCATCATAGCGACAGAATCTTGTTATCAACTCGTCAGTAAAAACACTTAAAACACCCGCGCAACAATATATTGCATTGATCCACAAGATTCAAAGAACGGCCATCCTTCAATAAAATAATTCTGGAAGTGAGATAGATTGTGGAAAAATTTTCCTCATTTATCACAATCATCCGCGCTACAAAGGCTTTGTTAGATATAGAAGTTACATTGATAATGTTGTCAAACGCAAGCTTATTTGTACAGTTTTAAATTTTTATCATCTAATCGCTTCCCAATATTATATAGGGCGAAATTCGCCCAATTTGAGTAAAAATATACTCTATGATTTCCACGAAATATTAGGTTACACATGCCAGTGAGTAATTAATGAACCGTACCAATTATTTCATGGCAGTAATTAACTAATCGAAAAAGCAGATACTATTTACCGATACGATTATTCTGCTCGAATTACCGAATGAGGAAATGAGATTTAATCCATTTAACGCCATTCCAAAATACAAGAAATTATAACGCCATTGCATATAAAATAAATTTCATACTGTTATTTAATAATGCATTCAAGCCGCATTTACTTGTGAAATATTTACAGAGATCTTATACATTTCTTTGTCTACTTTTATGCAGGCATTCAATACTTAATCGATTCTAACAAGCGAAGAAAAGTACAAGCAACGGTGATTTTTAAGTCTCGGTGCGTTATACAAAATCCATCGTTTCAATCAATGGAAGAAAATATAAATTTGCTAATAAAAGTTTTGATCTATATAAAATAAACGCAATTCACTGTGTATTCGTCCCGGCAAGTATAGCACGGCTTTAAAGACGGGCGTGAAGTGGAAGAACTTCTGTGTTTCGAGTGAGGTAGCCGGGGCCCCCTCTGTTAAAAGCGGTCAACCCATTTGCAACCCCACGGATCCATAGGTGACGATTATCACTAACCCGCCTTGTATTCTACAAAACACAATATTATATAGATCACTATACTTTTTACTGTTTCTACAGTAAAACCTAAAAACAGAGGTGGTTGTTATGATGTAGTAGGCTTTAGTTTCACTCGGACAATGTCAGCTTTCATCAATAGAAATGGTGATGCGGATAAATACAATGGTTGCAAAAACTTTCGTTTACTTTACGCGGTGAACCATTTTTATCGGACCTTCGTCGGTTGTTAGCATAAAAGCAAGGAATGAAGCATTTCTAATTAATTAAGAAACTAGCGAAGTAGTTAACCATAATTTAAAAAAAATAAGTTCAAATGATATTCACGGTGCTCGTTCGATCTCAGGGAGTTCGGCTAAGCTATCAT